CCTGCCCTTCCACCCTGATCCTTGCCACCCTCTCCCCAGTGAATGAGCTGACGGAGGGTGCTCCCTGGCACACCCTGGCCTGGACTGTCTGCACCTACGTGGGGCTAAAGTTCCTGCAGGGCGGAGGTGCTGGTAAGGACCACCGGGAAGGATGCATGCTGGGGAGAGGTGGCATGGGGCTAATTGTGCTGGGGCTGGAGCGATTGGGGATGCCCCCACCACTGCTGCTTTCTCTGGGAAGCAGCAATCAGGGCTGGTCCTGGGTTGGAGATGGTGGAGGGGGCTCGCTTATCCCAAATCCCTCTTTCCCAGCTGTGTTTTCTGAGCTGGCTGCCTGCCGTGCTGGCACTGGTCCCCGCTGACCACCCCGTGGTGTCCCGCAGGCTCCACTGGCTTCGTGAGCAACCTGCGCACCTTCCTGTGGGTGTGGGTGCAGCAGTTCACCAACCGGCAGGTGCAGGTCCAGCTCTTTGCCCACCTGCATGGGCTGTCCCTGCGCTGGCACCTGGGCCGGCGCACCGGTGAGGTCCTGCGCAGTGTGGACCGTGGCACCAGCAGCATCAACAGCCTGCTCAGGTTAGAGCGTGCCCGTGGCAGGTGGCAGGTGGCCAGGCATCCCCACCAGGCCAGGCTCAGGCTGATGTGCCATCCCCCTTCTTTCCCCCAGCTACATCGTCTTCAGCATCGTCCCCACCATTGCGGACATTGTCATCGGCATCATTTACTTCACCTCTGTTTTCAGTGCCTGGTTTGGCCTCATCATCTTCGTGTGTATGAGCCTCTACCTGAGTGAGTGAGGAATTGGGGTGCAGGGGTGCTGAGGTGCATTGTGGGGCAGCGGGTGCCTGCCAACGCAGCCCCCTCCTGCCCACAGCTCTGACCATCTTCATCACTGAGTGGAGGACCAAGTACCGGCGGGACATGAACACACGGGACAACGAGGCCAAATCCCGGGCTGTGGACTCCCTCCTCAATTTTGAGACGGTACCATAGGTGGGGGAGTGTCACTGAGCACTGGCACTGGGAAGGCTGATTCCAGGCACTGATCTCGGCTCTGTGTCCTGCAGGTGAAGTACTATAATGCGGAGAGCTACGAGGTGAACCGCTTCAATGATGCCATCGTCAAGTACCAGGTGCGTGGTGTCAGCAGCAGTAGGGAAGTCAGCAGGGAAGGAGCTGAGCCTCATGGGTACCTGCAGGGAGGACAGAGGTCACCGTGGGTCTGGTGTGGAGGCGGCAGCATCCTGGAGGACCTTGTTTCTTCCAGCTCTCAGAATGGAAGGTCAGTGCTTCGCTGGGCCTCCTCAACCAGACCCAGAACCTGGTCATTGGCCTGGGGCTGCTGGCAGGATCCCTGCTCTGTGCCTACTTTGTCACTGAAAACAAGCTGCAGGTAAGGCTGGTGCCAGCCTGGGAAGCCCCCTGCCTGGGGTGGGGCCACGGGGCTGGTGGTGATGGGCACCTCTCCCCTGTCCCTTCTAGGTGGGGGACTTTGTCCTCTTTGGCACCTACATCATTCAGCTCTACACACCACTCAACTGGTTCGGGACCTACTACAGGTAACGCTCAGAGCTGTGGGGGTGCCCGGCGTCCCCCTCACTGTGCGCACCTAGGTTGAGGTGTGCTTCCCAAACACTTCCCTGTAGTCTTCACTCCCTTCCAGGATGATCCAGAGCTCCTTTGTGGACATGGAGAACATGTTCGAGCTCTTTGATGAGGTGCAGGAGGTGGGTGCCACCTTCCTGGACCCCACTTCCTGCCACGGCCCCATGGTCCTGCCCTGGGGACAGGCTGGCTCTGAGGCCATGTCTCTCCTCCGGTAGGTGAAGGACGTGATGAATGCCGGTGACCTGCGCTTGGAGGCCGGGCGGATCGAGTTTGAGAACGTGCACTTCAGCTATGTGGATGGGTATGGGGTGGTGGGCACAGGGTGGCACAAGCTGAGCTGTGGGCCTGGCACAGGTATGTGAGGCAGTGGAGATGGCCCTGACCCCCTCTCCATCTCCCTCTCCCAGGAAGGAAATCCTGCAGGACGTCTCCTTCTCTGTGATGCCTGGGCAGACCCTGGCCCTGGTGAGAGGGGGACCTTGGGTGTCGAAACTGCTGGAGGGTGGGATGGGGAAGTGAGGCTGGGAAGTACAGGAGTGGGAAGGACAGACCCCCAGTGGGGCCAGCCCTTCCCTGCCCAGCCCCTGGCCTCCAGCAGCCAGGAGTCTCTGGTGTCTCTAAGCCTTTTACCTTTGTGTGTAGGTGGGACCTTCAGGCTCAGGGAAGAGCACCATCATCCGCCTGCTCTTCCGCTTCTACGATGTGCGGGGTGGTTGCATCCGTATTGATGGGCAGGACATCTCCCAGGTGCGGGGGGAACACCTCCAGGGACTGGGGACACACACTAGCTCCCATGGGCTTCGCAGCACGGCTCAGTGCAGGCACTGGCATCTCCCCAGGGCAGGGCTGAGCACGCAACCCCCACAGCCCCTTTGCAGGCTGCTCTGTACCATGAGTGGGGTGAATGGCGCGACTGCGGGACCCCAGTCTGAAATGATGGAAACTGGCCAGGGTTCCCTGAGAAGGGCTGGGGCACTGGCAGGGCCTTCCCACAGCAGGGTGGAGATGCCGCTGAGCCTGTGGTCCAGGGGGAGCCTGGAGCAAACACCCTACGAGGAGCGGGCTGTTGGGGCTTATGGCTGAGGGATGGGAGTGGGTGTTAGGGTCTCGTTGGGGGATGTGTGCATCTGGCTGAGCCCTCCCTGTCCCCCACCCAGGTGAAGCAGGCGTCCCTGCGTGCTCACATCGGGGTGGTGCCCCAGGACACCGTGCTCTTCAATGACACCATCGCCAACAACATCCGCTACGGACGGATCCTGGCCACTGACCAGGAGGTGCAGGAGGCAGCCCGGGCCGCTGACATCCACGACCGCATCCTTTCCTTCCCTGATGGTGAGAGCCCCCCAGTACCCTCCTTGTCCCCCCTGCCCATGCTGTCCAGGGGCTCCCTGTGACCTGGTTGCTGCCCTCACAGGTGTCCTGGGTGACATCCCCCATGGGGACACCTGCCTGACCCTGTGCCTTCCTTTGCTTGCCCTGCTGTCATCTCTGCAGGGCTGTCTCTCCTGGGCAGGGATGGGCTGAGGCTGCAGCAGGACCTCCCCATGCAGTACAGCCTTGGTGCCCAGCCCCATCCCAGAGGGCACCAGCACAGCACATTCCTGCCCTTGTGCCTGCAGGATACAGCACCCAGGTGGGGGAGCGGGGGCTGAAGCTGAGTGGGGGAGAGAAGCAGCGCGTGGCCATCGCACGCACCATCCTGAAAGGTCCCCGCATCATTCTGCTGGATGAGGTAATGGCAGCAACCCCAGCCCCTGTGGCTGCACACACTGCCTGTGCCCTCCCAACACCCTGCCTCTCCTGCAGGCCACATCTGCGCTTGACACAGAGACCGAGAGGAACATCCAGGCCTCCCTGGCCAAGGTCTGCGCCCACCGCACCACCATTGTTGTTGCTCATAGGTAGGGATGAGGGGTAGGTGCTGATGCAGAAGGTGCCGAGCTCTCTGGGCTGGCCTGTTCCCCCAGAGGGGCACGGACCTGACCTCCTGCTCAGGAGGTGACAGCCCCCATGACTGTGGCTCCTTGCACCATGTAAACCCCTCCTGGGCCCTCTTCCCTCTCAACCCCCCCCCCACCACGCTGCTGTTCTCTGCAGGCTCTCCACCGTGGTGGGTGCAGACCAGATCCTGGTGCTCAAGGATGGGCGCATTGCAGAGCGAGGGAGGTGAGCACAGGGGAAGCGCTTGGTGCTGCATACCCATGGGGACCCCCCTCCTTGGCTCTGGAACCAGCCTGGGACCCCGCACCCCTCTGCTCTGCCTGCAGGCACGAGGAGCTGCTGCAGAAGGGTGGTGTGTATGCTGGCATGTGGCTGCAGCAGCAGGCCGGGGATGAGGGCGAGAGCAAGGAGCGCAGCACCGAGAAGCCTGCAGGCAGCAAGAAGGGGCCGTGAGCATGGCCAGGGGCTCTGATGTGACCGTGACCCGGGCCCAGGCCCCCACGCTGCCAGGAGCCCGTTGCTGGCTGCAGGCCAGTGCCTCGCATGGCCCCAGAGCTGCAGGGGCTGGATTGGACACTCCAGTACATTTGTATCTGTTTGTTTTGCTGTTGTGTAGTTTCTTAAACCAGGTCCTTCCCAGCTCTGTGCCTGTGTGCTCTTACCTGCAGGGTACCCCTGGGGGGCAATGCTCCAGGGAGGGTTAGCGCTTGTGCCCTAGTGTCAACCAGCAGCTCTGCCACAGGGCACTGCTCCTTGGGCTTGGGTAGGCAAGGGGCAGAGCAGGGTGTCAGCATCTGCCCCATCCCCACACTAAAAGGCTGAGCATGGCAGGGGCTGCACTCCAGTGGCAAAGGAAAAAGCAGCATAGCTGGTGCCTGCTTTATGCCGTGTGCCCCCCCTTGCATGTCCTTATGCACCCATCCAGAGAGATGGGCTGGACACCAAGTGACGGCAACAGAAAGTGCTCTGCACCTTGTGCTCTGCTTTTACTTTCTCCCAAGGGCCCAGCCTGAACCCACCCCAGGGAGGCACTGCCAGTAGATAAACCCCCCTCAGCTGTAGGGCAGCACAGTCCTGTGCAGAGCCAGGCACAGCCCTACAGGCAGGAGTGGTTCCAGCAGGGATGCATGACAGAGCAGCGGGAAAGCAGCACCACCCAGCTCTGCAAGAGGCCAGCTGGACAAGTGACCCCTGCATGCATCAGCTCCTGCCTCCAAACACCAGCCATGAAGGGCTGGCTCCAGGCTCAGGGCTGTGGTTACAGGAAGGGGCTCTGTGCTGCTCTTAACCAGGAGGGAATTCCCTGCAGCACAGGTGCGAGGACAGAAGCGTTCCTGCCCCAGCATCAGAACAGGGCCCTGGGATCGTTTTGGGCAGCAGAGAGCACCCAGCAGCAGGAAGGCAGCTGCAGTCTTCCCATGAGAGCAACACTACTGTAGTCATTGCTGAGGTTACTTTTCAGGTAATGGTCCCTGTTAAATTAAACCAGAAAGGAAACGCAGCACATTTAGTCTCAGAGAGGTGCTGGGACCCAGCCAAGGTGGGTAAGGCCCAGGATGGTCTTGTGCATGCAGACAGCAGGGGAGGCACCAACGCATGGGGAGCGGGGAAGGGGCTGCTTCCACGCTGACAGGAGGCTGCACATTCAGCTGTGCCATGCCCATGCAAGAGACCGTCCCAGCCAGAGTTGATCTTTGCTGAGGGGCTGGCAAAAGCCTTCCAGGAGCATGAAATCCAGCCCCCATGACTGCAGCAGGCAGCTGTATCCCAGCTGTACATCCAAGCATGCAGAGATGTCCCCACATGGAACTTCCCTCCAGGATGGTTCTGCCCTCACCCCAGAGTTCCAGCAGTGCTGGGACACAGCCACAGCAGCTGTGGCTAAGTGCATGCTGCGGGCTGCCACTTGCTTTGGTCAGTGTGTGCTCAGCCTCCTTCCATACCGTCTTCACCTCTCTAGGAGCATCAGCTACTTGCTGCACTGATTTTATACAGGTACTAGGGCTGAGGTGTCAGTGTGTGCTTGGTGGCTCGCCTACAGCCCCCAGGGAGATGAGCTGTCCCTAGCGAGGGGCTCTTGTCATCAGTGTCCATGCCAGAACCCCATGGCATTCATGAAGGAGGCCAGAGCCGCTCCTCAGGTCACAAGTAGGATCCCACGTCCACTGGCGCACCCTGCTTCACCTGCCTACGACATGCTGCAGTTCGATGGCTTTGAACCCTGCACCTGGAACGGGAAGCAGCATATGATGAGCAAGGGAAGATGGGCTTCTTCCTCTGGCCTGCAAGGGCCAGTGCTCAAGTCCCCAGGGCTGTGTATTCGGCAGTGATGCTGCCACTGCCTCAGGCTGGGCTGCCCTCCTGGTGAGAGAAGTTACTCTAGGCAGGGCCCAGATGAAGCAGAACCCAGGGAGAACCCCTCCACAACATATGCCAGGTTAGGATCAACCCCACCACGGTGCAGAGCCTGCAGCCAGCCCCACTCACCTGCCGCTGTGACTGCTGGTACTCCGCCTCGCTTGCTGACAACGCCTGCGCCAGTGCCAGATCCTCCTCCTCCTGCGTGCTGCTGAGGACAGTGGTGCATTGTGTGCATCCGCCTCCCCCGAGCCCGTGGGCACAGCGCCCAGAGCCCTTTGGGGCAGCAGGATCTCCTGTAACTGCAACCCTCAGGACAGCTACGGGCAGGGAACAACCGAGGATCACCCTGGCCAAGCCAGGGGCTAGGGAGGGACTAGAAGACCCAGCAGAGGCTGGCAGCCAGCACCCTGGGCCAAGGAGGACCACATTAACTCCAGTCTGTGAGACTGGTGCTTTTAGTGCACCAGGCAATGTGCCCGAGGACGTGGGCTCCTCGGTGTCCTCTGTGAACACCCTACACCACAAATGTCACATTCTAGCAACGCTCATTAGCTCACAAGTGCTCAGAACATGGTTTGTCCCACTCTGTGCTGTCAGTCACTGTCCCCGCCTCGTGCCCTGGAGGGCTTGCTTGCTGAACTGAGCTCCATGATTGCTCTGGACTCTTCCTGTCAGCCACAGAGGCATCATGTGGAAACACGCGCTGAGAGGAATGTCATCCTCAGAGCCACATGATGCTTCCCCCAGCACCTTTCACACAGGCTTGGGGCATGGCACCACATGTCCCCGGGCCATACCTGGGTGGCTGTGCTGAGCTGCATGCTGACTCTGCCAGGGACATCTCCAGAGCTCGTTGCAGAGCCTCTTCCTCACTCTGAAACAAAACATCTTGTCACCAGCTTGGCTAGGGGTGGCAGGAGGTGACCCTGAGGGACATGTGGCAGATACAGTCTTGCTCAGGACAGACCTCCACTTCTCTCCCCCTGCCTAAAGAAACACAGTCCTGCCTGCCAGCGCAGGGACCATACTAAGAACACCAGCAGGAAGCAGCTTCCAGTCTCCTACACCCTTGGCTTGCAGAACAGAAAGACAACATCTGGGGAAAACAAGCCAGTGCATTGTGTCCCTTTAGGGTAACCCAAGCAGACAGCGCAGCCGAGAGCTGCCATTCACAGGCACCAGAGCAAACTCTGACGCATCTGGGATCCCTGTTTGCCAGGGAAGGCCCTGCTGGGTGGCACCGTGGTCACCTACGGAGCATGGGTTAAAAAGCATTTGCTGCAGGAGCTCCCCAGGGCACAGAACCACCCAAACCCAGCCCAAATGCCCAGGCCAGGCCACTCACCAGCCCGTTCTGCAGCATGACAGCTGGAGGGGAGGTGCTGCGGGCCTGCAGCACAGCTGCTCTGCCTCCTCTGAGGACAGAAGAGAAGCTAGGTTACTGCCAAGGCAGGGAGCCCTGGTACGAGCACACAGCCCTGCTGACGCACAGGCAGCAGGGAGCTGCTGCTCCTGCATACCACAGGGAGCCAAGCTGAGCCTAGCCGTGCCCACCTCACCTGGCAGGGGCTGGAGAAGAAGGGCTGTCTGCTGGCTGGGCAGCTCCGCTGCTCAATGCGGTGACCGTTTTGGAGGAGGATGCCTGGGCTCTTGCAACTGCAGCATGCCTGAGACAGACAGGATGCCTGTGAGCAACTGTTCACATCATGAGCCAGCCCTTGGCACTGAATACCCAGTGAGATGAAGCTGGATAAGCAAGATGCTTCCCTGGCTCCCTGCTCTTCTTGTTGCTGAAAGTACCCACGTTGTGGCTCAGCTAGACCCTGTTTCTCTCATTGAAACACTGGGCTAGGATAGGCATAAGTTGTCAGATACAGAATAAGGGGCTGGGCAGAGAAGCAAGAGCAAAACACCCAGCAGGCAGTACCAGAGGCTTTTGCTACAGGAGGAAGAGAATGTGTATAGAGCCGTGCTGACTCTACAAACCTTAACACTGCTGGAGGACACACCAGCACACAAGTCAGGAACTGTGAGAACGCAGCAGTCTCAGACAATGGGCCAGGAGGAGCTGGGCTTCTTCCCTGTCACCTGTCTGGCAACCACAGCCCCAACCCTGCCACTCCATCTGTCCCCTGGCCCTCACCCTGCTTTGGAGAGTGGACGTGCTGCCCCGCTGCAGTCGTGGTCCAGGGGGTGCCGGTGCTTGAGGCAGTAGTTCTTGTGGCACTGGTCACAGATCACCTTCATCATCTCCTTCTGCTTGCAGCCAGGCTTCAAGCACTTGTTAGTGAAGATCTGCAAGATGACATGGCTGTGGTGAAAAGGAACATGGCCTGCAGGGCTGGGGCTGTCCCTTCCCTCCACACCAGGCCCTGGGCACTGACCAGCTTTCCCCAACAGTGCCTCTTTTATGGGCTCTGGAGTTTGCCTCTGAACACTCATTTTCTTTAAATAGTTTAACAGTAATTCTCTACTGTTTTGGTCTCCATAGACAAGGGTCTGCAAAATCACATAATCACAGCAGAAGAGACACTTCCTTATCCAGGGATGACTGCCTGCCCTGCCAGGGAAGTGCAAACAGCCCAGAGACCTCCAGCTGCTGCTGGGCTGGACTCATGTGTGGCCAGCTCCTTGCAGCAATTTCCTCTCCTGGCAAGATGAAGAAACTAATTGCTGATTGCATTTTCCTAATGGCAGCATGCAGTTTCCTATCCTCAAATCCCAGATGAATGCCCAGCCCCTCTCCACTGCTACCTCAATCCTAGACTCATACCACAAAGCCCTGCAGATGCACACACCTCCAGGTCAACCACCCTTCCTGCCCTCAGCCTGTGTAAACAGAGAGAGCACCAGGCAGGGCAGAGTTGCGTGTTGTTTCCACCCCACGCCCAGGATCCAGCAGGGTCCCAGCAGTGAGAAGGAGTGCCAGGCTCCTACCTTGCGCTTGCGCTGTGCAGGGTCGGACTTGCAGTCACGGTCGATGTGCTCACCCACCACGACATCAGGCATCTCCCCCCGCCTCACAGGGACTGGGGTGTTGCAGAGGGGACACACAGGGACTTGGACATCCTGTAGAGATGAAAGGAGGGAGCTGGGAACACGCAGCTGGGCAACCTTGAGTGCTGTGCAGCCATCTCTCTCCCTTTCAGGATCTGCCTGCTGTGGCTTCCACAGCATGACCTGTGGTTTGAGATCCTGTTCACACCCTCCAAACAGGTTGCTGTTTCTAACCCAGTGGGTGTGGTAGGCACAGACAGAGGCTCTGGGAAGGGAAAACAGTATGGCCGGGAAATACTCAAACCACTTCACCTAGTGGCAGAGGGTGGGCTGGAGCTCGCAGCAGTGATTCAGAGCTACCTTCAGACCCAGCACACATCCCAAGGGGAACGACTAAGTGACCAAAGAAGTCACAAATTACTCTGATCCCTGGCTGGACTAGACCTTCTCTCAGCACTTACCTTCTTGTAGGCAGAGGTGCAGTCGTGCTGGGCATAAGTGATGTGGTCGGTGCAGAAGATCTGCTCGCAGGCATCACACTTGAGAGGAAGGAAGTCTGGGAGCGGGGAGAGGCCGCGGGCAGAGCGTTGAGGTCAGCGCTGCCACCCTGGGACACAGCCCTCACCCACGGCAGAGCCCCCGCCGCTCCTCTCTTCCCTCGGCTTGGAAAGAAAAGGGCTGCAGGGCCATGGGTGGCTGCAGAGACACGTCAGGCTCCTCCTCAACACCTGCCCTCCCCGCGCTCGGGAGCAGCATCCCGAAATCATGCCGAGCTCCCTAGGGATGCCGCCACTCCCACCACGGGGCTCGCCCACCCGGGACGACCGCAGCCCCGACTCTCCTCAGCACCGCCGTACGCGGCCTCCCCCCCACCCCACCCCGCGGCACCGAGCGCCGGCAGCAGCACTGCCCGCCGTACCCGACCCGCTGCCAGAGCCGTGCACGGGGACAGAGCCGGCCGGCAGTAGCCTCGGGCTACCGGCACCCAGCTCCGCCCTGCCGGGCACTGGGAAGGACGAGAGGCCGCCCCGCGCCCCTCCGCCAAGGGCGGCCATGCCAGGCCCGTCACCCCCACACCTCGCAGCCTCCCCGCTGCACGCCGCCCGGGCCGGGTGCCGGAGCGGTGCCGCCGGCCGCACTCACCCAGGCGCTGGCAGGCAGGCCAGGAGCAGTGCGCGCCCAGGTCCGGGAACTCCATGGCGGCTCCGCAGCGCGCCCGCTTCCGGCACCGCGTCACCCGGACATGGGCGGCACCAGCCGCAGCCCCGCCCCCCGCCAAGCCCCGCCCCGCGGCTCCCGTGGCACCGGCCCGAGGGGCCGGCTCAGAGCCGGGGCTGCCCTCCTTCAGCCCCCATCCGCCTCCACCCGCCCCGTGCCGCCATCCCCGGCCTCGGAAGAGACACAAAACACGGCTCCCGGCGCGCTTCACCCCGCTGCCAAGTCTTCAGGTGCCATGTTATGACGCCCGAGCACAGAAAGGGCGGCCGTAAGGTCAGCGCTGCAGACGGCGAGAGGGGCCACGGCAGGAAGAAACTGGAGTACTGAACAGGGCCAGGAGAGAATTTCATTGATTGCAAAAACCTCCACAGCCACCCAGTAGCAGAACTCAAATCTGACAGGGGAAATAAACAGGTATCCCCCAACACTCCGTTCCAGCAGTGACATGAGCGGCACTAACAGTCTGCAGAAGGGGCCTCTTTGCTGCCAGCACCCATCTGCTTTAGTCTCTTGCTGCTGCCCTCCCCTCCAACGACCCTTTTCCCTCTGCAAGCCCTCAAGACACATGTCTGGTGGTGCACCCCATCCGTCCCCCCTGAACAAAACCAATGAAAATTAAAATTATTTACACTTGTAGCCATTTAAAAACCCAATAAAATAAGATTGCATATGTCCTACTGGGGATGTGGGTATTAGCAGCAGCTACAGCTAGCTTGGTACTCTGCGTGCAAAACGAAAGACAAACAGAAGACAGACCAAAATACTGCACCATTACTAGGAAGCATTTGCTGGGGTTGGTGTTCTGATTGTGGCGTAAGGCTTCTAGGAGCCGGCTCCTCCCCAGCCGCAGGGCAGGGGCATCTCCCCTCAGCCAGCGAAGGCCGGGCTCTAGAAGGATGGAAAGGATTCGTTATTCCAGACACAGCACATTAACACTGACGCGTTTCCATCCCAGTCAACACAAACATCTAAAAAACCGGCTGCACGTTCACCGTGTGAGTTTTTCCTTCTTTCCAGTGACGACAGAAGAAAAAGGGGCGCGTGAAGACCTAAGACATAGATGCTGCTGTCATCACTGCCTCCTCCTCCTCTCCGTGCTTTGGCAGCTCAGCAGGTGTGGGAGAGAGGGAAGCCGGAGCAGCAGGAGACTCTAGTGCATCCTGCTCCTCCCCGAGCCCCAGCTCCGCATCCATTTGCTCCAGCTCCCCCTGATCCAGTAGCTCAAAGTCATCTGCTTCCTCCTCGTCTTCTGGTGAAGCTGCTGTCTCTGTCTCCACCACTTCGCTCTCTGACAGCTGTGCCTGGAAGCTCAGTTTCTCTTCAGGCTCGGTGGGGAGGAACTCTGAGAGGGAGGGCCCCTCGCTGGCCTCAGAGGACCGCAGCAGGGCGGAGAGGGTGTTCTGCACTGCAGTGGTGATGGCAGTGGTGACGATCTCCTCGCTCAGCGTGTTGATGCAGATGCCCAGGCCAGGGGCAGGGGCAGGCTTCGGTGCCACGCTGTCTCCCGCCGCTTGCCCGCTCCCATTGAAGTGTGTATTTACAAAATGGAGAGGAGACGTGAGGTGAAGAATGGAGAGACCAGAGTCCACGGCCTCCTTCTCTGCTGAGTCCAGCTCACGGGCAGCGTGGGCAAGCTCGGGGCCCAGAGGCACACCAAATGCATCTTCATCGCTCTGTGGTCCCAGGTCTCTGGAATGATATTCTTCCACGGAGGGAAACTCTGCCAGGTCCTTGGAAAACGACTCCTCTGGCTCACTGTGCAGGCTCTGCTGGTCCAGGTCTGAAAGGCACCAGCATTAAGGTGCAGGTCCCTTCACCTCAACCCAGGGCACTGACACCTCCCACCACTTCCCCTCAGCTGATACATGAGGGCTCACTTTTGGGCATCCTCCCAGTTCTGGGAGCACAGCAGGAAGGAGGCTGCAGTTATTCCCTTCTCCCAGTGGCACGACTCACATGGAGTGTCCCTTTTCTCATCCTGTTCCACGTGCTCTGTGCTCAGAGAGGACTTCCTTCTCCAGCTCATGCTCTCTGCATCTAGACACCTCCACGAAAAACCACAGGCTCAGGGAAATAGTGCTCACAGAATGTCACCTGCCTGTTCCTCCCCAGGCACTCAAGTGACCACATCCAAAGCATTACCTTCACATTCCTCATCACTAACTAGTCATTCTCTGAGTTCGTAAGTCTGACAGGGTGGGGTGTCCAACCTGTTTCACACAGCATCGTATATAGCTGTACTACACCTACGTATGTACCACACAATTATTTCTGGGGTCTTTGTGGATGCTTTGCTCACTTCCTGGAGTCACAAGACAGCACTGCCTTGCAGGGCAATAATCCAAAGCAGATGTCCACTCAGGACCAGCTCGTGATCAGCCACAAAGCCAGAGCATGCTGCATTGCTATTACTGCTGCCTCCTTTCAACATTTCCCTGCAAATAGCTGGGTTCTCTCCCTGTCCTCTCATCCAGAGAGCCACTTGCTCTGGGCAAAACCACCCAAGGTAAGGCAGGCAGCAATGTGTCCCATCACGTACCTTCAGAAACATCCGTCAGCTGTGGGGTGGTAGCCCTTGAGACAGAAAAGCCCCCACTCTCCAGGATGGAAGCCTCCTCATCAGAGAGCTCAGAATCTGTGATTGACAGCGCCAGGGCAGTCTTCTTTACATCCACCTGCATGAATGAAGCAGAAGGTGTCCAACTGCTAGTGCTGCCTAGAGGCACCTCCACACAAACCAGAGCTTCCAGGCAGAAGTCTTTGTTGGAGGGAAAGCTTGCTGCAGAGGGACAGTATGAAAGCAGGAGTGGGTTGGGCAAAGTGCTCATTGAACTGCAGGGAAGGACAGCCTCAGCTGAATGGCTTCCTTGCAATAATTCACTGCCTGAAGCTTTGCCTGCTTTCTGTGAAGAACCTGAAAGAGCCAGCACAAGATGGGATCAGCCCGTAGGAGTCTCAGAAGGCTTTGATCCTTCTTCCTCTCCTGGGAGCACCAAGGAGTAGAACACCCCTCCTCTTCTGCATGACTCAGGCTGGGCCCAATGAAGGCTTCCACAGGTAGCAGTGGTTCAAGGGCAGGGAAAAGAGCATTGAAAGGAGGCAGCATTCCTTTGGAAGCTGAAGATTCCCACTTCACAGCCCAGCTACATGCCCAGAGCTCCTGTAAATGAAGACACTGGGTCCATTTCTGTGGTGCACATATACAGAAAGGTCACACCGAGTCTGACAAAGCAGGGAACTGTGTAAGAGACACTAGTGCTGCTCATCTCCCTTTTCCAGCGGCAAGGAGCCTCTGTACAACCAGAAGAGTTGGATTTCTTTTGGGGACACTTTCATTTTCTGAGCATGAAGCATAACCATCAAAGCAGTTCTGCAGGTCAGCCAAAGGCTGGAGGACAGCTCAACCTGTCCTGCTACTGCATCACCAGCCCCATAGCACTGCATTTTCAATACCCAGACTGGAGACAACAGCCTTCATCAAATACCCTGCCCCCCTTGGGATTCTGCAAACAAGTGACTAGCTGGTCTGCAGTTTGTTAGCAACACAGCTGTACTCACACCATCCCTTGCCTCTCAAGATGTTATAGACCAAACAGGAGCAACTGGTTCCCGCTCAGCTCTTTGTGCTCTTACCACTGGGGAGAAACCCGACAGCTCTGCCTCACTCTCACTCTCCGTCTCTGCTGTTGGCTCATCACCTGCTGCAGGCTCATTCTTCCCTTGTCGCTCTATGAGAAAGAGAAGAAAGGCTTTACATGAGACTGGAACTTTATACTTTCATACATCACTTTCCCACTATTTCTACTACCCTGTGAAACCTCATGTTTCCCAATAGCCCAAGGTTCCCAGAGACAACTGCAATCTGTTGCTGTCATTTGCTCTTCCCAGGATCACCTGCCCAGCTGATCTCCCCATTACCCTCAAGTTTCTGTCTGCCCTCCCCTCCTCTGCTGCAGCCGTTCACCACAGTGTTGGTATATGTGCTTTCCCCTCGACCCTTTGCTAGGGCTCCACCCTGGGAGTACAGCACCAGAAAAAGTTAGGGTGAAGGTAGGTCCTTACTCTTCTTCTCATGCTTGTGGTGCAGCGTCTCAGCCTTCATACTGTAGTCCAGTTTCATCAGGACAGGCTCCAAACGCGTGTACATCCTCTGAATCAGCTCGTGGTAGACTACCAGAGGCCAGAGCAGAATGCTGAGCACTGGGGACACAGGATGCAGGGAGTGTGAAACAGAGCAAGCACAACCCAGCCCTTCACAGGGCACCAGCAAGAAAGTCTGCATCAGGGGAAGCGCAGTTGAATGCCATTTGCTTTCCTATCTGACTCTGCCTAAAATCCTCACCCATGGTTATTCTTACTCATTCCAAAACGGCTTGATAAACCAGGTTTCCCTAACAGATCTCTGTTAGGATACAGATTTACGTTAAGATGAAGCATAAGCCCTCTTCAGCCACTGCATCCCAGCCCCAACATGCAATAGGGGGCCTGAAATGAGGTTATTAAAACTAAAAATCACCAAAACTTTTATAAGGATAGCAGCACAGAGCTCATACACAGGTGCACTAGCAGCAAACGCCCTGAAAAGGGTTAGCAGGGACTCACGGTGCAGTGAAAAAGGTCTTATTTACTAAACATGCAGCTTCTTTAACTCTCTCGGTATGGATTTGCCCACTCCAGGAACTGAGAGACTGCAGCTCTGCTTCCTTGGAGCCTCACCAGCAGGGCCGCAGTCGTGGGTAGAAGAGGAAAGCAGGTTTTAGCAACGGCTCCCTCTCCTGACTCTGCACTTGTACTGCATTCACGCACTAAAAGAGACTCCTGGAGCACATTGCCTGTACTGATTAATCATCTACCAGAGATTCCCTCAAACTCCCCACAAATATGCTTCTACCAGCGTATCAACAGCACAGTTAAGGTCATGTTTAAGCTTAAGTCAGACAAGAGAGCTGCTTATACTCACAAATGATGTAGGAGATCATTATGCCTGGAACATAGTGTCCAACTACAGCCAGAATCAGGCAGCCTGAACAGGCACTCATGCAGAACTGAAGAAAGAGAGAGGAACAA